TGTGTGAGAGCCAGTGTTAGAAAATGCAGCTCTCTGCTGGGCATTGCTGCTACACACAAAGAGAAGCAATACAATTGAGTAAGTATATTGTTGGGATAGCTGGTGTGCTGCTAGACCCTGCCTTCTGTTGCTCACACTGAGCAAATCTGGGGCCCATGTATAAAATCAAAGTAAAAGCCTCAGTTTTGAAGCTGGGCTGTGTTGGAAAGTTGTCAAGCTCTGGGCTATGTCTCTGATAAGATTCATGTCCAACAGTGGGGGGGAAAAGCAGTTCCTGCAGTGGAGGACATGCAAGTGAAAAGGCAGCAGTTCCTTAACAGCACAGACTTGTGCCCTCACCTTCCTGCCATGAGCTTTTCCACTCTGCTTAGCAGGAAGGAGCACCAAGGGAAGCCCATTGTGGCCGTGGGATGGGGCAGCATCCAATGGGGCTGTGTGAGGTCTCTGGCCAGCAGTCACCAGATGAAGGTTTTCCAGCAGCCCTGGCACACACAGGTTTGGCATTGCCATCTCCAAGCGTACGTGCAGCTCTGAGATCTTATCCTGCTGCTCCTGCAGCTTGTCACTCTAGGAAGCAATGAGAAAAACTCAGTTACATACACCAGTTACATACACATGGATCCCACTGCAAAGAAACCCAAAAGCTGGGCTGTGCTCTCTTGAGGAAGAAGCGGAAGAGTGGGGCAGGTCCCTGCACAGAGCAGAGCCCAGGAATACCTGCAGCTTGTACTGCTCCATGGCATCCTCCAGGGCAGCCAGGAAATCACGGTTCTCCTCCTCCAGGCGCTCCACTTGCCTCTGCAGTTTGGCCACTTGCTCATCTTTGATGGACTCGCACTTCTTCTCCGTGTTCACCTGCTCCCCATGAAATATAGGAGAGGCCGCATCAGCATCCACCTTTGTCCTTCCCTTCCCATGCTGGACTCTGCAAGGGCACAGCAGCTCTGCAGACCCAGATTCTTCCTGTGAAATAGATCTGTGAGCCACAGCTGAATCCACATTCTCCCTGCTTGCCGTGAGGACATCTTTCTGCCTCTCTATGGCCTCTTGGCCAGGTTGCTTCTCTCCTTCTCCTGACCTTTCTACCATGCCCTGCTGAGGCTGTTGCCTTCAGTGGCCATCAGATCATAAACCCACAGAACAGTCTGTGTTGGAAGGGGCCTCAAAGCTGATCTAGTTCCACAGGCAGGGACACCTTCCACTAGACCAGGTACACCCCAACCTCAGAGCTACAGCATCCCAACCATTACCTGGGCTTTTGCCACCTTTGATCCTTGTGCCTCAGAGCTCTGGTCTTCTGCAGAGGTGCTCTCGATGCCGCTATCCAGCCCGGCCGAGGTCAGCTCGCTCCTCTCACCCTCCACCGTGCACAGCCACTCCTTGACCCGCAGGATCTGCTCCACGGTGAGGTTACTGTCCTCCTGCAGCTCCATCAGCAGCCGGTACGCGGCATCGGTGCAGGTGCGGTAATGGGCGCACTCGGCCAGCAGCCGAGCCGTGGGGTCTGGCGCGCATCGCTTGGCGGTGGATGAGCGGTTGATGATCCGCGTCTCGGAGCGGTGCCGCTGCTCCAGCGCCTTCTGCAAGCTCTTTATCTGCCGGTGCAGCTCCTCCACGTGCTCCGTCTCCTTGCGGCAGTTCACCACGGCCTTGTTCTGGATGTTTTGGGCCCGGTTGGCGTAGTTCAGGGTGTTGAGGCTCTCGTCGAAGTCGGAGGAGGATGGGCTGACACAGGCTATCATCACAGTCTGGGCATTCCCCCCCAGGGAGTCCTTCAGGATCCTAGAGAGGAGCACAGTGATTAATATAGCTGAAATACACAATAATGCGGAAACCAGGTTTCCACCCCTTCCAACCCCAAGGAAAACGATGTTCTTGCTCTGTGTCTGGCTTGGCACCAGTGAAGTGAGCAGAATCACAGTTCCTAATAAAAGTAATATCTCGCAATGTGGCGAGTTTTCATCTGAATAACTCCTGAGGTTGGAAGCTCCCTCAGCAGTCAGTCTGAGAGAAATGGTGTGAGAGCAGAAGGGAAAACGGCAAGCTCCTACCACCTAGCCTGGGGACTCTGCACCAAACCTGGCGAGCTGGGCATAAGAAAGGTAGGGAGAAATGTCACCCCCTTCCTACTGGCCCCACAACCAGTGACACATGGGGATCCTGCCCCAGCTGTACCTGGTGATTTTGGAGTCCCTGTACGGGATGTGGCTGCTCTTCCTCCGCGGGTCTCCCAAGGCACTGATGACGTTGCCCAGGGCCAGGAGGCTGCTGTTGATCTGGATGCTCTCCTTCAGCCTCTCCCCTGTGTTTCCTGTCTTCACAATGCGCTCTGAGCCCGCCAGGTCCACAAAGTGAAACTTGGAAACCAGGACCTGTCCCGAGGCGGGGACGGAGGGCGGGTGGCGGTGCAGGGGGATGCGGCCGGCCCCGCGCCGCTGCTCCATGGTCACCGTGAAGATGGTGTGCGAGCGGCTCGACTGCTTGTTGATGTGGGTAGCTCCCGTGTGCTTGGCTGTGTTCCCCATCTCCAGCAGGCTCAGCACCTCATCCAGCCCTTCCACTTCTGACTCCTTCACTCCGCAGAGCACTGCAACAGCAAACAGAGTTGTGGCTGGGAGGGATGGGCTGCGTGAGGATACAGCTCCTCTCCACAGCCTCACGTCACCCCAGACCAGCTTTCCACACCAAACAGGACTAAGCACAGCAGTCTGCTGCAGGAGAGGGATGGAGGGAGAAGACTTGGCTCTGCCTTCGCAGGCAGACAGCCCAACCCTGGCCTTGGCCATGAAAAGTGAGCCCATGCACAGCTCCACATACCGACGTTCCCCTTGTCATCCTCCCGGATCTGGATGTCTTTGCTGGCTGTATCCACCTGCAGCAAGTCCCGAAACTCCTCCTTGTACACTTCCAGGTAGGACACGCGGACTGTGTAATCGATGAGGTCATTCTCATCGATGAGCCTGAAGGTCTCAGCCATGGCTCGTGGGATGATGCCCTGCTCATCTTCATTGATGGAAGCTGGCACAGAGATGCACATGGTCATGGGGAGCCCATGGTGGCCAGGGACAGAGCCACGGGCAGGAGCCTGCCCGCAGCATCTGTTACTTGGAGAGGAGCAGCCTCACAACTGTCCCACAGCCTGGGTTAAACATCCCTCTGAGTGTTTCCAAGACACAGGACCTTGGGGCAAATCCTGTCCCACTGAGGTGCTGGATTCCAGCAATGCTGCTTGTTTCCAGGCCTTCCTCAAGAAGGAGAAGTCCCATTAGTGTTTCATCAGGTAGCAAACACCATGCCTGCAGCTACAGCATGCAGTCCTTTGAAGCTAGCCTGACTCCACAACCTTTCCCAGCTCAGAGAAGCTGGGGTATTTCGTGCTTGCAGCCTTCTCTGAATGTTAAATGGTTTTGCTTTTGTCTCTAACAGCCATGAAGTACAACAGCAATCCCCAAATCTGGTGCAGTGACAGCCCCAGCTGGGAAACTGGAGGTAGACTGGAAGTATGGAAACAATTTAGCGTTTACAAACTATGCAGTTAACTAAAGCTGGCTGAAAGATTTACAGCACATTCTCTGTAAGGTATCATAATGCCCTTCAACTCCTAGGAGGGCAGGGTTTCCTCTTCCTCCAGCCCCTTCCCATCAACAACCTACAGCATTAACCCCTGCAAACCTCCCTCTCCTTACAGCTAATTTTGGGACAAAGCTGACGGATTCAACCCATCTGGAGGTAGCGGTGCCCAGAGAAGATCACCACCACCTCCATGACATGGTCCTCTCACATCTCCTACAGCGGTGAAGCAGAAAACCTACACGCTGCGCTCCCAAAGGTGGTGCTGACCATGGGACAGGTAATTACAACAGTGTGGGAAGTGGGAAGGCTGTTGGGGTGGGCAGGGTGGAAGGACTGGGATGGTGATGGTGGAGAGCGCAAAGTTGATGAGCTGGACGGGGATGCGAGGCTGGTGGCTGGGGAGGGATGGCTCGGCTCGGGATGGAGGCGGTGCGGCGGGGCGGGCAGGGTACCGCCGGCCGTGCCGTTACTCACCGACGCTGGCCTCCCCGATGGTGTAGGTCTTGCCGGAGCCCGTCTGCCCGTAGGCGAAGACGGTGGCGTTGAAGCCGCGGAAGAAGGCGCGCAGCAGCGGCTGGACGCAGGCGCGGTACACGGCCGCCTGCCCCGCGGCCTCGGGCAGCACCGCGGCGAAGCGGAAGCGGCGGCGGCCCAGCGCCACCTCCCCGGTGCCCGCATCCCCCCGCAGGCAGGGCCGGTGCCCCCGCAGCGCCTCGCGGGGCAGCAGCGGCCGCACGCGCACCGCCACCCGCACCGCAGCCCGCTCCGCCGCCATGGCCCGCGCAGCGCAGCGCGGGGAGGGGGGGTGCGGGGACCCGGCGCGCAGCGATGGCGTCAGGCGGCGGCGCAAGGGGGAGCGGCCAGCGCGGGAGCGCGGTGCGGGGCGGGCACCGGAGGGGTGCGGAGGTCGGGGTAAGGAGCGCGGAGAGGCCGAGGTGCTCCGCTGCTCACGGAGACTGCATCACTTGAGAGATGCTCCATCACTCGTGACATGCGCCATTGCTCGTAGGGATTCTGTCACTCGTGAGAGGCTCCATCACTTGAGAGATGCTCCATCACTCGTGACATGCGCCATTGGTCGTAGGGATTCTGTCACTCGTGAGATGCTCTTATTGCTCGTAGAGATTCTGTCACTCCTGAGATGCTCCATCACTCGTGACATGCTCCATCGCTCGTAGAGATTCTGTCACTCGTGAGGTGCTCCATCACTCGTGACATGCTCCATCACCCGTGACATGCTCCATTGCTCGTAGAGATTCTGTCACTCGTGAGATGCTCCATCACTTGAGAGATGCTCCATCGCTCGTAGAGATTCTGTCGCTCGTAGAGGTTCTGTCACTCCTGAGATGCTCCATCACTTGTCAGACTACATCCACCCCTCATGAGATGCTCCCCATCACTCATCAGAAAACACTTCCTCCCCCCCACTCATGAGATGCTCCACCACTCGTGAGACAACATTCAACTCACAGGATGCTCCACCACTCCTCACAGCCATTCCCGTGTGGGATCACCGTGGGGAAGGGACAATGGGCTGCGTGTCCCTGCCGAGGGACAGTGTGCTGGATGCTCAGGCGTGGGCAGCCTCCTGGGATGCAGCTTGCGGAGCAGCTGGTGCAGACAGACGGTGCTTCCCATGCGCCTGCTGTGCCGGGGGCTGACAGGACACTGACGCTCGTTTGGGATCATCTGAGCAATAGCGAACTTTTCCATCCGGCCGCCCGCAGCTCCCGCTGCACCGCCCCTGCGGCGGCGGGGAGGGGATGGCCCTCGCGGGTCCCCTGGGTGCTGTGGGAAGCGCTGGCTCCTCGGCTGCACACAGAGGAGTCGCACACGGTGCTGGGATTGCTGGCGAGGCACGGCCATGGGGCTGCGGCTCCCGCTGCGCCGGAGCACCAGCTTCACCCCCGACCACCCTGCCCTCATGGAGATGCCTGGCCCCACTGCCCTGAAGATGGAAGCAAACGTCCTCATCATGGGAGCAGATAACGTGGGGAAATCAGGTAAGAAGCGTCCGTGAGCTGGGAGCAGGGGGTCCAGGCAGGGAGACCCCCAAAAGAGGCTGAAAACTGCAGCAGCGTTTGGAGAGCAAGCTGGGGAGATGGGGCTGAGTCCAGCTGTGTTTTGGGTACAGCTGTGATTCGAGGGGGAAACTGAGCACAGCTTTGTAGGGTGAGAGATGGGGAAGGCGTTTTCCACTGAGTTGCAGTTTGCTGATGCTCTGGTTTGTGTTGTGCCGCGGCTCACAGACCTGCTGGTGGCTGGGGGACAGCCAGAGGTCGTTCCTGCTGGTGGGAGTTTGCAGGGGAACGGTGCATGGCTGCTCTGGATTTGCAAAGGAAAGTCCTTCGTGCTTAGGGTCATTCTGATGGTTGTTATCCTTCCCTCTGCAGCTCTGACTGTGCGCTTCCTGACCCGGCGCTTTATCGGGGAGTACGGAGACATGGGTGAGTGCCAGGGCTTGGCCAGGCTGTTTCCCGTTAGGGATGGGGATGAGGATCTGCCCGCAGGATTTCATTGCTTCCCATCCCCTCCTGCCTTTCTCCATTGCCTTTGCCTGCTCCCTAGGAGTTCTCAATGGCTGTCTTTGTTCAGTGACCCATCTCCTTGCTCCACAACTGCTTCCCTGTGGTGCAGAAGGTCCTGGCTGGCAGCTGGTGGCACCAGTGTGCCTGGGCTGAGAGCTGGAGGCAGGCTGATGTGAAGGCCACCGTGCTCCCTGGGGCTGTTGCTGCACAAAAAGAGCCCCGGGACGTGTCCTTATGGAGCACGGTCTCCCAGGGTGGACGTGACAGGCTTGTCCCCAGGAGGAGACCTGGGCTGAGGAAGCATCTCCTGGGCCCATGAAAATGACTGGTTTTTCCTTTGGCAGAATTCCTCTACAGCCACAATCTGACCATGGATGGCCGAGAGATTCTCTTCCACATCTGGGACGTCCCCAATTCCCAGGTGAGAGGACCCTGCTCCCATCGCCTGTTTTAATCCCAAGGGCAAAACCCCTCTACTGAAAGTTACCTGTGAGGAACCACAGGCTGGGAGCTACCACTGAGCGAAGCTGCTGTGTCAGATGGTTTGTAGGCAGCTGCAGAGCACAGGTCTGCAGTGTTGCTGGCAGGGTAACAATCACCACTATAACCCGTGGTCCTTGGGCTGAGGGCTTTAGAGCTGATGCATTAATGTTACCAACCCAGACTGAGCACAGGAACAAAGTGGAAGTGCTGCTCTGAGATTCATCACCCACAACCCGCAGTGCTTCACAGCTGGAAAACCCCCCCTTCCTTTCCTCTTTCCCCAGGAGCAGGCAGAGGAGGGCTCCTCAGAGGAGAAGCGAATCCAGTGGGCAGACAGCTTTGTCCTGGTCTACAGCATCTGCGACCGTGCCAGCTTCAACATCCTGCCCCTCAAAATCCAGTTCATCAAAGCGGCCAAGGAGGGGCAGAGCCAGGAGAAGGTGCCCATCGTCATTGTGGGCAACAAGCGGGACCTGCACCACCAGCGGGTGGTGTCCAGCGAGGAGGGCCGGCTCCTGGCCCTCTCTTTAGACTGTGGGTTCTATGAGGTCTCTGCAGCCGAGGCTTACCACGGGGCCCTCATGGTCTTCCATGGACTGGCCGAGCGCATCCCTGACACCAAACTGGCACTGAAGAAGGGGACAGGGATCCGTGGCATCGTCAAGACCATGTCGGCTGTGTTTGCCCGTAAGCGAACAGACTCCCTCTGAGCTACGGTATGGATGTTGCTTCTCTCTGTGCTGGACCAAGCCTCCTCCCTTGGTGCCCATGGAGATGGTCTGTGTCTGCATAAGTATGATGGGTTCCTTGCTGTCCTCCTAATGCCAGGGTCTGGGTGACCTGCCATACACAGCAGTGCAGCACTGTAGTGCCTTAGTGTTGGCTCTGTGATGGGGCAGTCTCTACCCTTTGCTGTACCAGCTTTTTAGGCACCTCCTGCTTTCTCCTTCCATGCTCCAACACTGGAAACCACGAGGTGATTTTGACACAACTCCAGGCAGCATCATTCCCAGCTCCTTCAGCAGGAGCTGTCAGTGAGCAGGGAGTTCATGCTGCTTCTGCCCGGCTCCTGGTCCCCCTACTCCTACTCTGGGATCCCTATTCCTGTTTAGTGTTTGTCAGGGATCTCTGATACCCCTGGAGCACCCATGAGCTGGCTGAGGGGGGTGTTTCTCTATCAGGGAGCCACGGGCAGTTCCCACATGTGCATCACCACGTTGGGATGTCCCCATCACTGGCTGACCCAGAGGACCTCAGTGGGACCCCATCCCACCTGCCTTGCTTTAGAACCATCCTGCTCATGGTCCTCTCTCCCACAGCCATTTCCCCTGTGCCTGGGAAAAGCCAGGCGTGTGGCTTGTTCCCAGGACTGGGATCGCACCGTGCGCCTTCCCAAGCTGCTCCATCTGTAAGTCTGCCTGTCCCTGGGGAGGAAGGGAGGTGGGGAAAGGGGTCTCTGGGCTCATCGCCGAACCCTTTTGCTGCTGGGAGGCTTTTCCCTGCCTCTCCCCAAGCCCCTTCCCCTGGGAAGGCAGCATGTCGGGACAGGGTCTGTGTGTGCAGTGCGGACACTGGTGTCTGCGCTGAGATGCAATAAATTGGTTTTGGCAGGAAGCCCCCATCTCCTTGGGGCTGTGAGTTTGTACTTGGAGCATGGGGAGAGACACGTAGTGTGCTGGGCACGAGCACCCGCCATCGCTGCTGCTGTTAGCCCTGGGTTGGGTGTCTCACCCCACTCTGCTCCCTCATTGTGGTGGCCCATGCTATTAAAGCAGGCAAGCGGCAGGTTGGGAAGGTTTATTATTGCAGCGGATACAGTGACATGCTGTGGGAAGCCAGGCGGTCCTGTGGGAGAGAGGGGTTCCATTTGTTCTCACTGATCTTCTTTCTGACCCCATCATCTCTGGGGGTGGGTGCACAGGGCTTTCCGACTCATGAGTCTTGCTGGTCGGTGGGGACCTTCATGGAGGAGCAATCTGTGGCCAAGGGATGAGCCCTGCAGAGTGGGACGGAGGAAGGAGGGATGGGAACCAGGTTTGTATGGTGATGTTTGGTGGCTTTGCTGTTCTTGCTCTGTTTCAGTTTCAACATGTAGACCATCTTAAGTCCACACCATCTGCTTAACCAGGACCAGGGTACAGCAGTGCCAGACCCAACTGGTCCCTTTTTTATGGTCTCACCGCTCTTTTTGCATCTCTGTCACCTTTCTGATCCCACCTCCCCCTTCCTTCTCATTCCACCAACAGGGCTTTTGGCTGCCTTTATTCCCCCACCCTGGCCCCAATATACTCCATGGCACATCTACCACTTCAAGCTCCCATCCCAGTACAGGGGAGTGCGCAGGAGGCTGGCAGGGCTGGCAAAGCGTGCACAGGGCTGGAATGCGCTCATCCTCCCCATGGCTCAGTCCTTCTTGAAGCCAGGACTGTAGGGGCCGGTGTAGTAGGGCCGGCTGTACAGGGGCTCGGGGCTGAAGCGATAGGAGCCCTCGCTCACGCGCCTGCTGTAGGGGGAGAAGGCGGATTTCCGCGGGAGGGGGCACTCGGGCTCGAAGGCAGGGCTGCGGTAGAAGTTGTGCCGCAGGAACAGGGGGTCCTCCAGCCCCAGGAAGGAGAGGGGGTGATGGCCGCGGTACAGCCGCCAGTCACCCCTCAGCTGGGCTTTCTCCTCAGCAGGGGGGGTGGCAGGCTTGGCCTCCTCCTCCTCCTCTTCCTCCTTCTGCTCCTTCTCAGCGCTGGGCTTGCTGCTCCCGGCTGCATCCTCTTCCTTTGCTGACTGCCTGCGGAGCTGAGAGATGGGGTGAGCACACGGCCAGGCGGTGCCTGCACTGCCAGCCCTGCTCTGCCTGGGCTACACAGCCCCCCCGAACCGGGGAGCCTCAGGACAAGCCAGTTGGCCCCCAGAGGGGTCTGCAGTGGAGGGGAGCAGGCGGCTGCGGTGGAGAGATGGTCCCAAGGGGAGCAGTGGGGTGGAGGAATCAGAATGGTTTGGGTTGGAAAGGACCATCCAGTTCCAACCCCCGCCATGGGCAGGGACACCTCACACTACACCGTGTTCCCCAAGGCTCTGTGCAACCTGATCTTGAGCACTGCCAGGGATGGAGCAGGAAAGGAAAGGGGACACAGTCTCAGCCTGAACTTCCCAGGAATCTGTGGTCTCACCCTGGCTTGGGCATGAACCGTGTGAAGGGGCCATCATTGGCCAACCTGCTGGCTCTATGGGAGACTCACGGGCACAGCTTGGGAGATGCTCAGGAGGAGGGTGGGACTGAGGTGTCCTGGCAGCAACCCCATCTCCCTGCTCTGGTACCTCCTGGAGCTCTGGGAGGAGGTTGGACAAGAAGGGGTTTGCTGGAGATGGGTGGTTCAGACTCACCGGCACGTAGCTGTACAGGGTGCCCAGCAGATGCTTGGGGGCACTGACGAGGGTCCCCCCAAGAGCATCCACCGTCTCCATGGCCTTGGACAGCCTGCGGGGGGTGAAGAGGATCAACCCCTCTGCTGCATCCCAGGCCACCGCCGGGACCTTCTTCACGCTGGAGATGCCGGAGGCGCAGGCGGTTTGCAGGTTGTGAGCCACGCTGCCCACCAGCCCGGGCTCATCCCCTGCCTGCGGGAGGAACCAGCTCAGACACGGGCCCCTCCGGGTGTCCCTGTGCTCCCATCCCCTCTGCAGCAGGGTCACTCCATGTACCCCCCACTCCCTGGCCCCCAGGGACCCTCTGCCTGGGGCTGTGCTTCCGCTGCAGGCAGAGGTGAAGGGCAGTGACCCCAACCTGCTGCTTCCTGTCCCCATGTCCCAGTGGAGCTGCTGCTGGGGACCGTTCCCAGCCCCGCTGGCTCACACCATCCCTTGCTGTGGGGATGATGGAGGGGGAGTCTCGGGTGCAGGAGGGAGCTCGGTGCTGACACCCTACAGCAGCAAAGGAGTCTTGAATATACAAGCCAGGATGCCCTTAGCCTTGAGGACTCAGGAAGGGGAAGCTGCTGCGGCTGTCCCAGCTTCCCGTCACCTCCTCCAAGCTGCAGTTCAGCAGGGATGAGAGCCTTGTCCCAAGGGTATGGTGGAACATCCCCCTTGCTGGCATGGTCCACGGGCAGGAGGATGCTTTGGGGCACCCCTACCTCACTGCTCCCCCTTTCTCCATACCTCCTTGCTGTGGTGGTTGTCTTTCTTCCCTGCCTTCTCCTGCTTCTTCTCTGGCACCTTGCTTTGCCGCTGGCTCAGCTGGCCGGTTGTGGTGCTGCACCCATCACTATGGGGCTGCGGTGCCTCAGGTGCGCTTGGCTTGGCCAGGCTGCCCTGGAAGAGGAGCAACACTCCACTGCTCGGAGGGAGCTGGTAGGTCCCATTCTGCTTATCCTGGGAGTTACAGGGGGGCCTGGGGTGTTCAGGGAGCGGGAGGGTCATTGGTGCACATGGGAAGAGATGCTGAGGGCAACAGGGAGTGCTGGGGTATGGGCACAGGCCAGGGAAGGGGATCCCATGGCAGCACTTGGTGTGAGAGGAGAGGCACCTCCTTCTCCCCATCCTCTCTGGGTCCCTGCGGGGGCTTTCTGCTTTAGGAAGGATGTTATGGCAAGGCCATAAATCAACAATGTACACTGGGAGCTGGCTAAAAATAACTTGTCCTGCGAACACAGCACAGTGTGTGTGAATGCACTGCGGGAGCCACCGGCCCTGGCTCCTCCTGCTGAAACAGCAGCATCCGTCCCCCTGCTCTAGGATGTGCTGAAATGTCCCATCTGAAACCAGAACCAGCCCAAAGAGGGTAAGGGGCAGCAGGAACCCGGCACTCACCACGATGGGGATCCACGTGGCCAGCTCCTGCCCTTTGGCTTTGGCACGCTGGAGGCCATGGGTGGTTTGCTGGTACGCACGGTGGGAGGCAGTGCTAACTAAGGTGCCGATCCGGCCCAGGGTGCTGGGAGCACTGGGAGCACTGGGCTGCTGCTGGGACACCTTTGCTGCTGACCCACGTGGCTCTTTGGGCTTCTGATCTAAAGGCAGAAGAGAACTGGATGGGGTTACATCCCGGTGGAACAACGCTCCTAAGCGATCCTATGACAAACCCCAGGGACTTCCTCCTGCCACACAGACCCAGCCCTTGCCAGACACCCTCAGGGCACATTAGGGCACCAGGACTACCTGCTTCTTCCTCCTCCTCCGGCAGCAGGTACTCCATCAGCTTCTCCAGCCCTCCCAGGGCCGTGTCGACCCCGGCGGCTGCCATCTGGCTCACCGAGTTCCTCCTCGTGTACTTGGCTGTCGTCTCCACCGTGCTCTTGGTGGCCTCGTAGCCCTCTGCTGCCAGCTCCATGATCTTGTCCATGGAGTTGCCGATGGTGCTTTTGGCGCTTTGGAGGGGAGTGGAGATGGTGCCCTTCAGTTCCGATGCGAGCTGCGGGTGGAGAGATGGGCAACAGCCCTGCTGGGGTGTGCTTGGGGTGGCATGGGACAGCCGGAGGGAGCACAGGGACCTCAGCCATGGCCATGCCAGTGGATAGCTCTGAGAGGGGCATTAACAGCTCTCTCCAGCCAGGGCTGGAGGTCGCTGGCAGGAATGGGACATAAGATGCTGTTGATGTATATTTGGGAGTACCCCAAGTGGTTGGAGCATCCCTTGTGCTGCAGGAGCCCTTGTTTGGAGGTGCTGCCTTATTTCCCCCTCCGTCACCATCCAGAAGCAAGCCTAGAGCAGACATGCTGTGGGCTCAGTAGAGGGCTGGTGGGTCCCAGCCTGTCCTATGCCCTACCTTGTCAACGGGGTAGTGGAGGGCAGGGATCTTCTCCTCCAGGTGGTCCAAGCCCCGGCACGCCAGGTTGTTCGCCACAGCAACTGCCTTGGGCGAAAGCATGGGGTGTGTTGGTGAGGAAAGCACCGGGGCCATGCCAGGCACATGCCAGAGCCAGCGCAGCCCCATCACGGTGGGTTCATCCCTGCTGTGTCCCCCCTGCACTCACACTGGGGCTCCAGCCTGCGCACCACCGGCTCCACGCTCCACATGGCCAAGGCGCTGGCACCCTGCACGCCCCGCTCATAGACCTCGCACACGGAGGCCATGAGCGGATGCGCCTCCTTGGTGGTGCTGTAGGTGCGCTGCAGGCTCTCGCAGGTTGAGCTCACCACCGGCAGCTGCAGCACCCTCTGCAGCACGTTCTCCTGTGGGTGGCAGAGGGGCACTGGTCACCAGCAGCCCTTCCCCGAGGAGCACCCCATCATCCATGCACCAGGGACACTGGTGTGGTGCAGTGACCACAGAGGATGCTGGAGGAGGATGGTATTCCTTGAAGCACACTGAGCGTCTCAGCACAGCCATGGACCAGCAGGCTGGCTGGGATGCCACAGGCGGTGTCCCCGTATCTCGTGCTCCCTCTGGCTTTCCGCTGCTTCTTCCATCTAACCCACCCCTTGCTCCTGTCCTTGGACCAGCAAAGACCAGTGCCTATGGGGTACCTCTGTCCTGTGTCTGCCACATCACCACTGTGACAAGTAAGGTAAATGGACCTCAAAAAGGAGAAGGGGAGAGGAACAGGTCTGTCCCTGAGGGGATGTGTGTTCATAGGGTGTTCATAGGAGCCCTTGATGTGAGAAGAGGGCACCAGAGCTTTCCGAGGAAGCCAGGCACTGCATCCTGCTAGCAAGGGCAATGGGGGATGCCATGTGTGCTGCCAGTGCCAGGGCATGGCTGGAGGTAGGTCCCTCTTGGCTGGTGAGCAGGATAAACCTGCAGCTCCAACCCTCTGCTCCTGCTCTCACCCCGTGCCCGCTTGGTGAGATGAGACAGAGAGAGTGATGCTGCAGCCCCAGGGGAGGAGCAGGGTGAACACTGGCTCATGCAGCAATCAGGAGGCAAGAGCTCTCTTGGTTGCACAGGACAGAGCAGGAAGCTCAGTTGGCTTTGCTGGAGGCTTGGGGTCTGCAGTGGGGACACAGATGAGGGACAGGCAGTGCTGTCAGGCACCACCAAGGGTTAACTTCCTTGATTCTGAACTATTTAATCTCAAGCAAATGAAATGTTTTACCCTTTCCCTTTGCTGATGCTCTATGTTACTGCAGCTAAAGGTCTGTATAAAGAGGTGGGCATATGGGACAGCATGAGACGTGACTTGTATTCATCTGGCCAAGCTGGTACATGCTGCCCAGCACCCCGTGCCCTCCCCTCTCTTCCTGCACCCACCTTGGCACTTCCATTCTGCAGAGTCTGGTTCTTCTTGGCTGTCATCGTGACTCACCCACCTGCAAAGTAAAGCCAGAGCCTCAGACCCTGCTGTGAGGGCAGGGCTGGATTTGGGTTTCCCCCAGTTGCTCCTGCACCCCCCCAAGCATGGCAGGGCCGGGAGCTGGGCTGAGCCATCTCCCATGGGTGCAATAGATGCTGTATTGCCTAATGCTTGACTTGTTACCAGTTCAGCTGCAAAACCAATGTCTCCACACAGCCCTGCCCTGCTTGTGTGTCTTAACACCCCAAAGACGCAAAGTATTAGTTGAGAGGCATCTAGTGTGGAGGAGGTACAGGCAGGATAAATGTCATCGCTGTAAAGCAAGCTCGGAGCAACCGGAATGCTAACAGATGTGCATGGAGGCTGGGAGACGCAGGCTGGGAAGGGGCAAGGCAGCAGGATAGGAGCAGAGGGAGGAGCTGCAGGTGGGGATGTGGTGATGTGACTGTACATCCCTCTCCTGTACATCTGCAGCTCTGCCACTCGCAATGGCACTGCTTATCCTTGTGCAGCCCCAGCTCCATCCAGTGGGCAAAATCACTGCAAAACACCCATCTCCAATGCTCCCGGTGGGTGCCAGCACAAAGCACAGCTCCAGCTCCCAGCCATGGGTTCCCTTTCCTTAGCAGCAGATGACATTCAGGAGGCTTAGGGATAGCAGCTGATCCCCCCCTCCCACTGAAGCTGTCCCAGTGGGACATGCTACTCACCGAGGGGCAGCCCGTCCCCAGCAGAGCAGGAGCAGAGGGTGCTGTCTGCACCGTCCCTTCACCCTGGTCCTCTGAGAGTGATGCACCGTGCCCTAGCCACTACCACCACCAGGCCCCACCTCCTGGTTGCGTGGGGCTTGGGAGCTGGAGCACTGCAGTGGAAAGTGGCCAAAGAGCTCCATGGAATCACTGTAATTTGGAACAAATGATGGCAGAAAATCCCCTTTGTTGGCTTCCCTGCAACGCTGGGGCCCAGCTGGGATGCACCAGGGTTTAATGCGGCTCCATCAAGAGAAGACGAGAAGAAGATGCCCTTGGACCTCACCACCTCAAAAGCAACAGGTGAGCACTCAGGGAGAAGGTGAAGAGTCAGGCAGGGTTTCCACAGAGGTTAAACCCTTCCTGTGTTTCTGTAGCCCCCCTGTCATGGGCTGTGGTGGACCAGGATCCTACCCTGTTGGGAAATGCAACACAGACCAAGAACATAGTTACACCCCAGGAGAGTTTACTAAGCACAGGGAGCAGAAGGTGGACATGGGGGACACATCCTGCATAGACCAGTCTGGTTTGGGCAAGTCCAAGGAAAGGAACTCATTGGGAGTTTTGGTGAGGAGGCTTTTAGGTGGGTGCTAGGTCACACACTGCATTAGGAAAACTCCAGGTGTTTGGAGTAGACAGACATGGAGTTAAAAATCAGGTTGGAAGTGGAGGCCACCTCATCCAGCTCTTGTTCAAAGCCAGACCAGGCTGCTCAAGGTCTTGTCCAGTCTTTAAGTCTCCAAGGATAGGATCCCCATCTCTCTGGTGCCCAGTTGCTGTGCTAACCATACTCATTTTTCCTTATATTCAGATGGAATTTCCTCTGTTGCAGTTTGTGCCTGCCATCTCTTACCATGTCCCTGTGCACCCCTGAGCAGAGCTTGGGCTCCAGTCTCTGCTGGTTCAGCATGTGCTCTGTGTGCCTAACGCCTTACCTTCACAGTGATCCTCTGCTGGAGTCAAGGTCTCCCCTGTGCTGATGGGGCCAAAACAGTAGATGTGTCCCCAGATGTGCTTCAAAGAGAGGAACAACTGCTCCCCCTGACCTGCTGCAATGATCCCACTGCTGCTGCTCCCTGCCAAGGGGATCAGTGCAGATGATCCAAGGCTGACACTAGGCTGCTCTGTGTCCTGGACCAGCCACCATGATGCAGGGAGACCCTTGGCATGCTGCTCAGCATTGGGGAGGCCCAGGCAGCAGAGCCGACTCCTTGAACCCCCCCTGTGCAGGACACAGAGGCATGCGTCCAACACAGCTCCACGGCTCCCTTGTACATGAAAGTGGGACATTTCCAATGCATGGGAGGAAAATACCCCTTTTCCTCCCAGAGAGCCTCAAGTCTGCCTCCAGCCCAGGGCTCTGCAAAGCTGGGCACAGAGGTGAGTGGGTGTCCTGGGCTGTCTCCAGCTCAGCACTCACTGCTCTCCAGACAGCGGGACAAAGGGCAGCAAACATTTGCTCTCTTGGCACTGGGACTTTTTCCATCCCTGCTGGCCGTGCTCACAGTGCAGGGGGCATGCCAACCTTCCCTCTGCCTTGGCTGCAGCCAGGATCGATGCAGCCTTTGCCCTACTAACGCCTTTGCTCATCCCCTCCCCTTCCTCCAGGGCAAAGGCTGTGCCAGCCCCGGCTCTGCAGTGCAAAGGTACCACCACCTCCACCTCGAAACACACGGTGTTTCTGCAGGCAATAGTGAGAGCTCACCACATCAGCTGGGTGCAGGGAAGCTGTTTTATAGCCTGGTCTCTGCAGTCTGCTCCATACCCAGTTATATGCTATGGCCAGATCCCCACAGACCTGCAAAGTATCTTTACACTTGGATCTGGAGGGGTAACTAATTCATTTCCATGCCCTATGGCAGTATTGGCACCCGCTAAACCACTGCTGGCAGATGTCAGTCCACTTTCTTCTTCAGGGCTGCCTTCCTGGGCAATCCATTTAGACTTTGATTGTATTTTCAGTTCAAAAAGAAGTGTGACTTAATTCTCCCTTGCTGCAATATGAACGTATTGCCTCCTGGATGGACCTAAAGACCAATTTACTGCCTTCTTCATGACACCCTTTTAGACACCTGAAGCCTTCTCACACCCTCCCACAGTCACCTTTCCTCTACAGAACCGGTTCATTTGGTCCCTCCCTGGAGATGTTGGTTTTTAGACCTTTGATCCTTCTTGCCACTCATCTGGGAATCCCAAATGGCTCACTCATGTCTTGAGATACCACACCAAGCATGGTATTAACATTAGGAAGGCCTTGTCTGTAAGTAGATTACTTCGCATATCTCACAAAGGCCACTCTCCTGTCAACTGTTTCCATTACACAATGTGTAAGAGATCAGTAATTCAGAAGGACACGCTTGCTCAAACACTGCTGAATGCCATGCTTTGTGCATTGTTCAGGAACTGACATTTTGGTGCTTCCAAGTTTGCAAGACTCTTACTGCAGGGAATAGGAGCTAACAGTATGCCTCGTTTTAATATTATCCTGGCTCCATCCCTCACCACCTCATCTGGACATGTCACCCTTCACTCCCTGATCTGAACAGGCATTTGGTGTTAAACAACTGCAGATCCACCCCAATGGAAAGCTGTTTCTAAGATACCAAAATGCAGGTGCAGCCGTTCCTTTCACTGTAGCTGGGCACGAGGCTCCAGCTCTCACTGCTGGTACTCAAGGGCAACTGATGGCACTTGGTTTCAGGGCATTTCATATATGCAGTTTTACCTGGTACCCATGTAGTTACTGCCTCATGTTTCTGCAACTGAAATGGGGTTGTAAATTAGCCTGAAGAATCTGGCTGCCACCTTGCTACGGCAAAAAGAAATCTCTATAACCCAGGTGAAACTACAGGCAGTATCATCCCCCATAAAGCTCAGAGACTGGGGGACAATTCCTTCTTCCATCACTTTATGCCACCATATAAGTTACACACACAGACACAGTGCCAGGCTCATCTCAGTTTATTGCTTGTGTTCAAGCAGCTGTCCTTATTCCAACTGTTGTATTAGATACAAAAATAAGGCACTAAAAGGATTTTCTCCACGTGATTGTAATTTTATGGCTTCAGTCACATTATGTTAAAGTACATCAAATTGCTACCCTCCAGCTAGGGAGCAGAAGGCAACTATTAGTGCTTAACATCCAGTAAAGAGAGTTACTCCTGCATGTTCCAACCCACATCATGAAGAATGGGACAGGTAAGCCTTAGAGAGGCTGAAAACTCCCTGCCCCATCTCCCACATTAAGTCTGTACTTGCCAGTGCAAGCCAGCCCCTACAGGAGAAACATCAAAGCCTGGCTCAGGGCTTTGCACAGTGTTGCCTGGCACAGGGGAAAACCACCCTTCTACCTCCACAGGGCAGAGGGCAGTATAGCTAGCTGCCTTGGGGCCACAGCACTATTCAGTACCAATTTCCCTTTACCCACAGGTAAAGTACAAGAGAAAAAAGAGAAATGAGTTCACAAACCAGTGAAAGAAGTGGTTTGTATCTGAGAGCTCCCTGAGAAGAATTCATAATACGTTATTATTTTGCAAGAAGATGAAATTCTGTAGACAAAAGGTGGCCAAACCTCCGCTTCCAAATCATCAAAACTCTTCCTTCTTCACAGGGGTTGCTACTCACTGGGATAACGATCAAATCTGACCAAGGGAGGGATGGGCTCCACACTGCTGGAGCTGTAAGGCAAAAGGAGCAAAGCAGCAAAAACTACTCCATTGTTATAAAGGAGAGGAAGCCCTTGAAGACAACATATCCCATACACAATGCTCCACTACGGTCTGAACTGCCAGCGAGCTCTACTTTTAATGGTATTCATTTCCATACTAAAAAGAAGAGCTGCTGCAGGCCACATCTGGTCTTCAGGCACACTTACCCTGCTCAGCAACCTGCATTTTTAAAACGCTTCACTGGCAGGCTAACACTTCAGATTCAAACTGGAAGTAATTCCGAGTCTGACCACAGTGATTTAACTGGGCTCTGCCCTACTGTGCCTATTCAGCTCCAGAGCTTTTGCTTTCTGATAAAGGGGACCAGCACCTTTTAATTTCTGTTTTCAGACAGCATCAGAAATAATAAGAAAGTACCTTGGTCCAGGTTAGAGTAGCCTCTGTGCACATCTCCTGACAGGTTAAACAAGGAGCTCTCATACCGGAAAGCAGCAGAACACACAGACCTAACTCTAATGAAGAATAATGATCATTTTGTCTCCTAGATAATGTGCAGATTTTCCTCATGGTGTCAGAACTGGTATCTGCAAAGTCAGGAGCAACAAACACTTTATGCCACATTAGACAGCTGGACACAGCATTTCTCTTTTAACTCAGATGACACTGCCAGGCAACCATTCCCAGCGAGGGAATTAATGAATAATAATGCAGTTGCAGGGCAAACATAAGGCATTTCAAATGGTAGAACCCATTCAACCAGGGGGGCAACACACAAGAAACCTTGTGGTCATGGCAGAGGAGGGGAGGGAGGACCAGATAGGAAAATCTAACCCATGAATGCCCAAATCCAGTTTTAAGCTTCAGCTCTCACAGGGGATTTTGGTATTATCACGACCAACTCCACTCCCTTCCCTCTGGGAGCTTACACAACTAGAAACACTCCCTTGCAGTTTTCCTGACTCAACAAGCTCTAAGCCAGGCTCAACTCCTCAACTGCATGTTCCAAAGCTCCTCATTATACTGGGACTTTTCACATAAAATTAAAACAGCAAAACAAGCTCCTTATCACAATATGATTAATGGAAAAACGTTGCACTTGCAATCACAGGGGTTTGGGAGTTAAGGTGCGTGTATTAGGATATTTAGTGCTTGTGAGTGGTTTCAGATTCACAGCTTTGGAAACCCAGTTCCTGACAAATCACAGCATCGTCAGCACTCAGACAAGCTTCTCTTATGAGTCCTTCACCAAAACCCACAGCCATGGGCTGCTGGAGAAGTCAGAGCCGGTGGCCAGTGGTCCTTGGCTCACATCACTGAAGGAGAAGAGCACAGTGCTAATTTCTTGGGACACTGGCACTCACTAGACTACAGAACCAGTGTCATCAGTGCATGTGAGAGAGATCATATCACTCTTGAGTTACCATCACACTGCATTCAAACCACTACATACAAACCACAGCAGGATCCATCAACCCAAACCCATCAGAACACCTGTACTTGAGTTCAGGCCATTTTAACAACAGCTCCTAACTTGCCTGTGCCCACTATAGAAAATCTGACTGTAGGGACCTTTGATCAGGGAATTCCAGCTTTCCAGTGTAAACATGATTAGTTATGAGTCATATACCTATTGCAGCTGTCTAAGCAGCTATTTCACAACCCTGTATTAAAATATAGGAACATCAATATTTCCTTATCTAGCAGCCATGTTCCAAGTCCTGTTTATGCCTTCTCCCATCTCCACTTACTCCATCAGGCACCGAACTCATCTGAAAAGACACAGGGAAGAATAAAGGGTAGAAATCACTTATTCAGAGGACAAAATGACTCTTGAGGTTACTGTGAGACAAGTCCATTTTGAAAGTGCCATATGGAGGATAAAAACCTATCAGAGGACCAAAGGCGTTGGCTTGCTGCATACTATACAGCTCCTTTTATGTCACTGTTTCAGCTTCAGATGTGGGCTGGCTAATGTGAGGATTCCCACCACGGAGGAGAGGACACCACAAAAACCAATCACTCCTGGGTTGGTCTTGTAGATCCCTAGCGTATCCAAAGGACCTGAGAGATCACAGAGATTCTTCACCAAGTCCAGCAGTAAAGGAGGATGTTTCTTCAAGATCTGAAAGAGCAGGAGGAAAAAACCATGCACACCATCACTTTTCACACTGTTAAGTTCCTGACTGTGTTTGCCCCAGCACGAGTTCTCCTTTATCTTTTCTTCCTGTATAGCTTGTTCCAGCCTCCAGGAGATCTCATACCAGTCCCTGCCTAGATTCATC